CGGTGTCGTTGTCGCGGGGGGACCACGGCACCTCCGTGCCCGTGAGCTGCCGGTAGAGCTTCCGCTACCTGACGGCCGCAGTCACGAGGGCCTTCTCGGGGGGGGGGGGGGGGCGGCTGTTCCAGCTTCGTCGCCCGCGTCCGCGCCGCCGTCAGCGCCCTCGGAGTCCTGCAGCGGCTGCTCGATCCCCTGCTTCTTTGCCTCGGCGGCCTCCACCTCGGCGACGCACTGGCCGACCATGGTCTCCAAGGTCGTCTCGCGAATATGCTTGGAGACTTGGGCGTGGCTCTTCTGCGGGAGGACAGGCACGTTCCTCGCGGTTTCGTTGAAGAGGGCGGAGCCCGCGTCGACGTGCGCCCTGACTTTGGGCAGGTGTTTCGGCTTCCGGCCCATGTAGCAGAGCAACATAACCTCGTGGCTGCGGGAGTTCGCGAGGCCTCTCTGCCTCTTGAAGTGCCCGAACTGCTGCATCTGCTTCGTGTTGTAGCACAGGTGGCACGAACAGAAGCGGAATTTGTTTGCCGCGAGGATCTTCTGGATCTTCGGGAGGTTCGCGGTCGCGCGGCCAGCGAGCACGAACAACGCGTCCCGTCCAGCGACCATCAGCGGATCCAGTGACTTGAGGTAGCGTAAGAAATCTGCCGCGTCCACCGCGGGCTCACGGTGGGCGAGGCCTTGCCCCTCGAAGACGTCGCGCACCCTCGCATTTTTCACGTCGTAGAAACCCATCAGTGGTGCAGCGTCTGTGAGGTTCTGGTATAAACGAGTCGTCGTAAGCGTTGCGTGGATCTCCGCAGCGGTGCCAGTCGCCGTGATCAGGACCGCCCGCCCCTCGAGCTCCTTGGCGCACGCCTGCTCGCACTGCCCACTGAAGGTAGTCACGTCGCTCGGCGAGACGTCGGCTTTCTTCTTGTCCTCGGAGGCCGCCTCCTGCCCGACCTCTTTGGCGCCGTCCGCCGCTGCAGCCGCCGCGTCGCCGTCGGCTGGCTGGCTTCGGGCGCCACCTGTTGCAGCCGCGAGGGAATCGTACGCGATCAGGAACTCCTCGAAGAAACGCTTCGAAACTCGCGTGCTCTTGTGGAACCTGTCCACGTTGCGCCGGTCGCTCTTCGGCTGCGCGGGGGCGCCTGAGATCTCTGGCGCGTAGAAGTCCTGGGCTATGTCGAGGAAGTGCTTCATCGCAAGGCGCGCCGCAGGGGTCGGCAGCGACTGCAGCCAGGTCGGGCCCTTGTCGGGCCCCTCAGTCTGCAGGGAGAACTTGAGCGGCGAGTCGAGATATGACCTCGCCGTGGCCATGACTTGACTCTCGGCGACGCACTCCCAGGCGCCTGTGGCCCCAGTGCTGTTGCAGCCAGCGATGGGTTTGAACGACAAGTTCAACGCGTAGGTCCTCGCCCGCAAGATCTCGGCGACTGCCTGGCCGACGGCGCTGGCGCCGCACGGGCCCTTGTTGTTCTTAAACCACATCCGCGTGTGCAAGCTTTCCGCGACGTAGCCCAGCGAGGCAGCGTCAGTCTTCGAGACGATGGCCCCAATCTTGGCGGGCCAGTCCAGCAGATTGTCTCGCCCACAACGGTTCGCGGAGGCCTCAAGGAGCTGCGCTGCCACCTGCGACTTTTGGAGATCGACCCCGTTGTCCGCGTGCCTCTTCACAGCCTTCACGTCTGGGCAGCGCAGGAACCTCCACTTTATGTTTGACTGCGTCCACTGCTGCGCCTTCCTTGCCGAGGGCCCCCCGCCCCCTGGCCCGCTGCCCTTCGCGATTCCGGCCGAGCGGGCCACGGCGCGCAGGAGGTTCGTGGTCTGGAGCCCGATGAGGTCGCGCAGGCGCTCGTGGCGCGCTCTCTGTTTCACAGACCACTCGAACCTGTTCTCCTCGACCCATTCGGTCGCGCCCCCCGCGATGCGAGCGAAATCGAAGGGCCAATCCAGAATCGCCCCCTCGAGCGCTGTCACAGCCGCCTTGGGGCCTTCCTCTTTCGCCCAGTAGTAAGCCAACCAGACAGCGTTCACCAGAGCGCCATTGCCCAACCGCTTGAACTTGCCCAGGTCGGGCGCCTCGGAATGGCTCACGTTGGCGATCATGATGAGGATCCCGAAACCTTTCTCCACCGCATTCGGGATGACCCACGGCCTCCGACGCTCCTGGGCGCAAGTCTCCACGGCGCGCCGCTGTGGCTCACCTTGCACTGTGGCCTCGGCGTCGCCAACGCCCTCCTGAGACTCGTTCGCTGTTTCAGCTGACCCGTCCGTCACCACGCTCCGCAGGAACATGTCCGCAACCGCGTTCTCCACCTTGCCCAGCGAAATCTTCTCCTCAAGGTACGCGTTGCCGATGGGCGCCGTCTACGCCAGGTCGAAATACGTATTCCTGCGGTCGCCCTCCTCGTTCACCTCTGCGGTAACCCTGGCGAGCTTCTCCTGAACTGCAGTCCTATTATTGTCCTTCTTCCGCTGCTCCTCCTGCGGCTTGTCCTTGCCGTTGTCCTTCTTCGCCTCCCCCGCCTTCCCCTTGCCCGCCCTCTAGGCGATGCGCTTCGGAGTGGTTTTCGGAAACCTGTCGTAGTCGCCCTTGATGGAGGGCTAGATCTTGGCGTTCCAGTGGTCCTTGAACCCCTTCTCGTGGTCTTCTCCCATCGCGCTCGGGCGGGCTGCTACAGCTGGGGGCCGTGTGTCACAGCTAGTGCGTCTGTTGCAGATCGGGCTGGGGCCGAGGCGGCCATGGAAGTGCAGGGGAAGCGATCGAGGAGGAAGCGGGCGCAGGCGGCGGGAGAGGCGATGAGCAGCAGATGGAGGGCGAGGCGTCGACGGCCGAGGTGGCCCAGGGGGTAAGGTGCCACAAAAATGTGCTTCGCGTTCCCCCTTCCCCCCCCTCTTCCTCTTATCCCCCCCCCTAAAAAAAGTCAGACGTGTTAGAGCTCCCTGGGGGCTCTAACATGCCGTGTTAGCATGCCATGTTAGAGCCCCCATGGGGCCTCTCATTACCCCCCCCCCGCCAGGCGGCGGCGGCGGCGGGGGCGGCGGCGGCGCCAGGGGGGGGGTGCTTAACCGGCTCAAAATCGATGTTGAGCATGTTCAGGGGGCGCCTTAACACCTCCAACATCGATTTTTCCCGTTGAGCCCCCCCCCCGTCAGGGAGGGGCTTTACCGCCTCCAAAATCGATTTTGGAAGTGTTAAACCCCATCTTTTCGCATGCCAAGCCCCCCCCCCCCCCGGGCCCAGGAGAGGGCTTGACATGCGAAAAGAAGGGGCTTAACACATCCAAAATCGATTTTGGAAGCGCCAAGACCCCTCCCTGGCGGGGAGGCGCGGGGGGGGGGCTCAACAAAAAAATAACATTGTTAAGGCGGCCCCTTAACATGCTCAAAATCAATTTTGAGACTGTTAAGCCCCCCCCCCCCCCCCTGGCGGGGGATGGGGGGCTCAGCATGCTCAAAATTGTTTTTGAGCCTGTCGAGGCCCCTCCCCCTGGCAGCGCCGCCGCCGCCGCCGCCCGCCTGGCCGGGGGAAGGGGGGGGGGGTCGACCCCCCCCCCCCCCCCCTCCCCCCGGGGGCGACTTTAGCACACCAGGGAGCTCCCAGGGAGCTCTAACATGGCATGTTAGAGCTCCCAGGGAGCTCATACATCGCATGTTAGAGCTCCCTGGGAGATCTAACATCGCATGTCAAAGCTCCCTGAGAGCTCTAACATCGCATGTTAGAGCTCCATCGGAGCCCTAGTATGTCATGTTCGAGTTCCCAGGGAGCTCTAACATGCTATGTTAGAGCTCACATGGAGCTCTAACATGCGATGCTAGAGCTCCCAAGGCGGTAGAGGGCCCCAGCCCCTGCAAGTACCTCCCTGCAGCTTGAGCCGGGAGCTGTCGGGCGCCTGATGCGCTCCACCCCCCTGCTCCCGCCTGGACTCCTCCTCCTCCTCGGCTCGTCCTCCTCTTCATCGCCATCCTGGTTCCCCCCGGTGGGCCCGCGGGGGCGCCGCGGCCGCCTGCGGCGGCGCCGCCCGCCGCCGGGGGCCTGGGGGGTGGGTGGGCGGAGAAGCTGTTGCAGCGGAGCTAAGGAGACGGCGAGGGGGCGCGAGACGGAGAAGCTGCGGGGGCGCGTGAGCGCGGAGAAGGCGAGGCGGAGCAGGAGGCGGCGAAGCAGGACAGGCGGGGGCTAGCAAAGGCGGAGGAGGAAGAGCAAGAGGGTGATGAGAAGCTGTGAGGGGAGCCCACCTCGAAATATAACATTCAATTTCTAACATGGCATGTTAGAGTTCCCATGGAGCTCTAGCATCGTATGTTAGAGTTCCCCGGAGCTCTCGCATAGAATGTTAGAGCTCCCATGGAGCCCTAACATGCCATGTTAGAGCTCCCATGGAGCTCTCACCAAGCATGTTAGAGCTCCTAGGGAGCTCTCACCAATCATTTTCGAGCTCACAGCTAGCTGCAACATAGTTCGGTGTCCCAGTTGGTCTCATTGCTGACAGGGGAATGAAGAGAGTGACCAGAAGCAAGAGAAGGGGGAGGACGGGGGATGGCAGGGACGGGAGATGAAGAGCGCCATGAGCAGCTGTTGCAGCCAGGAGGCCAAGGGATGCGGGAGCAGCAGGGAAATGTGATAGGAGCTGCTGCAGCCAACTTTTCCTAGCCCACGAGGTCAGCATGGCCTGAGTTCCCATGCGGCATGGCCTGCGTTGAACAATCGAGAGCGTGCAAGGCGGGCGTTGTGAAGCAAGCGCACAACGTTTTGGACCCGCGGATTGAGCCGTGGACCGTCGGCAAGAATTGCGCGCGGCGCGCTGACCGCGGTGGCCAGCAAAGGACTCCCAGTGAGCCCCCTTGGGGAGCTCGGGGATCCGTGAATCGATGATCGACATGGATGCGGGCGTGACCGCGGGCCTGGCTGGCCCATCCGACAGGCAGAGCTCATCCGAGCGGCGGAGCTTTGTCAGCCTGGCCCGACGAAAACTGGCGTGGCGCAAGCCGAGCTCGAAGGTGCCCGTCTATGCTGTTGCAGACTAAGCTGTTGCAGCTCCGCCAAGCTGCCCGCTGCTCCCAGACGCGGGCTCGCCCCGCTGAGGCTCACAGAGCGCCTTGGCGGCGTCCTCGTCGACGTTTAGCAGCGGCTGCACCTTGTCGTAGAGCGTTCGTCCCATCGGGCGGGGGTAGTACTCCTGGCCGTACGCCACCTGCATGCGCACGAGGACACCGAAAATGTCATCCTTGTAGACGTGGCCGTTGCAGTGCAGCTTGATGTTGCGGATGTAGTACTTGGTCTCGCTGCGCCGAAGGCAAGTCAACTTCTTGGTGGTGATGTGGGCGTAGTACTGGTTCTGCGGCTGGGCGATGCAAAACACGACGTCTCCGATGTCCACGGTGGACTCGCCCTTGACGACGCAGCCGGCCCCCGCATCTGCTGTTACAGCTTGGATGGGGTGAAAGTGTGGAAATCGCGCGGCTGCGCCAAGGGCCACATGCTGTTCCCCGGGCTCGAGTAGAACACGGGGCGGCCCGCGAGGAGGTGCGCATGTATGAGCATGTTCCTCTGGTCCCGAAGCCTCATCTCCTTCTCCCGCGCCTCGGGGTCGTACCGCGAATTCTTGACCAGCTTCCAGTCCTCGTGGAGCGCATGAATGGCCTCGTGTGGGCTCGTCAATACTAAGGGTGGAAGGCGGTCCGGCTTGGTCTTCTCGATGATCTCGGCCACGTCCCGGGGCAACCTGGCGATGGGCTTGTAAATGACCGACTCCGCCGCCGTCTGACCGAACGCTCTGTAACCGAACGATGCCATGGCTGTTGCAAATCTGTGGGCATCATCCGTCCGCGCACCCCGCTGCCGTCTGCGGGCAGCCGTCACCGTCTCCTCGGCTTTCGCGGTGGCAGAAACCGTCGCCCCCCGTTCAGCTGCCAGCTGACCCGCGGGCCCGCTCAGCCTGCAGGCGCGCCTGCCGCATTCGCTGCCTCGGAGGTGTTGCGCCCCACCTCTCGTTGAAGCTGCTCTTTCGGCGGCGGCGGCGGCGGCGCGTCCGAGGGTAGCTGGACTGGCGGTCGGCAGGGCATCTTTTTCGGAAGAGGCGCCGATCCGCCCCCCTTCTTCGGAGGAGTGAACAGGCGACGCACTCGGCGCGTTCGCAAGCGGAGGCAGCAATTGGTCAGGCAACCCAGGCGTCTGGCTCTTCGTCGCAGGCGTCTCTCCCTCCGCTGGCGTGTACTGGGCCCTCTTCGGCGGCCCCCTCAAGGTCCGCGGAGCTGTTTTTCTCCAGTCAGCATCCTCCTGCGGACGGGGATGCGCCACTGCAGCAACATCATGCTCCGCTCTAGGCGCCGCCTCGCACTCTGCTCCGGCAGGTGGCCAGGGGGGGGTAGAAGAGGCGGATCCATCAGAAAGACCAGGTGCTGTTGCAGCCGCAGGCATCTGTATCGGAAGCTGCTGTTCCCTGCTGCGGGCGTGCTCTCTGCGGGCGCGCTCTTCGGCCCCCGGAGATCTCGATCAGAATCGCGTGGCGCGCCGGGGTCGCTCGAATAAGGAGCGCTCGAACCCGACTGCTCAGCATAGGCCGGCGTTCGGTCGACCTCCAACGGACGTTTCGTTTCGTCAGCCTAAGCGCAGCGGTCCGGGGGGCCCTCGTCGGCGGGCCCCTGGCGCCAGCGCCTTCACGAGCTGTTGCTGCCGACTGGCGCCCGCGCGCCGCTTCGCGAGCTGTTGCAGCAGACGGGCGCCCGCGCGACGCCTCTCTCTGGCGCCTCTGGGCGTCTGCAAGGTGCCGCTCCCGCTGCCTGCGATGCCGCTCCCAGTTGTTCCGCGCCGAGTCTGTGATCCCAGTCAGCCCTGGCGGGTTCTGGCGCTCCTGCTCTATCAGATGCCAATTCCAGCGAATCTCCCTCTGGCTGAGATTACGCTGTGATTCCGTGTCCAGGCGCCCGTAGGGTCTCGACTCGTTCTCCCAGACTCCTGGCATGTCCCAGATCATGATGCCCTCCTCCAACTGCTGGAGCTTGAAATCGACCCAGCGCGCGCGGCGCTGAGCTTCTAACATTTGATCGCGCAAGCCATCCTCACGCGCCAACTCCGCTTCCAGCCTGCGCCGCTCCTGCTGCCCCCGCAAGCCCTTGCGGTGGTTGAGCAAGTATTTCCCGTCGCCGACCTGAAGACTAGCCAACGCTGGAGGAGCTGAAGTACACATGCACGTCTAACATGCAATGTTACAGCTCCACGGAGCTCGAACATGCTCTGTTGGAGCTCCAAGGGAGATCTAACGTGCTATGTTAGAGCTCCAAGGGAGCTCTAACATGCCATGTTAGAGCTCCATGGGAGCCCTGACATAACACGTCAGCTTTCACGGCGCACACATCGAGCTCAAACATATCACGTTAGAGGCCCCATGGAGCCCTAGCACAGCACGGTAGTAGAGCTCCCACGGAGCTTTAACATAGCATGTCAGAGCGTCGCGGGAGCTCTGAAGTAGCAAGTCAGATTTCACGACGCACACACCGACTTTTAGCATGTTTGAGCTCGCAGGGGGCTCTAACATATAACAAATTCTGGCCGATGTCACATCGTGCTCTAACATGTCCCGTTGGGGCTCTCATCGAAATCTCAGAAAAGAGGGGGGGGGGGGCGCAGCTAGCCCAGATTTGGCTGGTCTGACCTGGCGCGCTCGCTTGCCCTTGCCCTTGCCCATGCCACGGTCCGTCTGCGCTGCTGCAGCTGGAGCGCGCCGCAGGTCTGGGGGCGGCGCGCGCGCGGGCGGGCCAGGGGGTCGAGCCGACAGCTACGGAGACGAGGGGGACAGAGAGAGGGAGAGAGAGCGCCCCAAAGGTTTCGGTGGGGATCGCCGCAGAGGTTTCGATGGGGATGGGAAGGTTGCGCTGTTTCAGCTTTGGGGGGAGATCGCTCTGGAGGTTTCGATGGAGATCGCTCGAAGGAACGCGAGCGCGTAGGTAGACTGGGGGCTGGGTTTGGCAAGTGCGGTGGAAGACGGCCTCCTCCCTACTCCTGCCTCGTCCTGCTTCCCCCCCCCCATCCCCCTCGCCCCCCTCCTCCTGAGGGCGGCGGCCCTGGGCGCCCGATGCTCTCCGCCCCCGCCCCCCCCACCTCCGCCGCCGACAACCGCCGGCGCCGGCAACCGCGGCCCTCCCCCGTCGGCGACCTTCAGGCCCCCAGCGGCGGGCAGCGCCGCCCGCGGCAGCGGCGCCCCCATAGGGGCGCAAGGGGGGGCACGGGGAGGGATGGAGCCTGGAAGAGGAGGTGAGGTCGGACGACGTGGGGAGGCGTTATTTCTCAGCAAAACTGGCACGATCGCAAACTATGCGACGGGCTACTCACGCTGTTACAGCCGTGGTGCACGGGCACAGTGCTTCAACGGACGCGTCGAAACGCGGAGCCCAGTTCCTCGGACTGTTGTAGAGCTGCTGGACGGCTTTGTCGACGCCCGCCTCTTCTCCTGAGCGGCGCAGTACGCAAGCCCGCTGCGCCAGGCGGGCCGTGGCTTCGGCGTGCTTCTTGAAGAACTCGCAGAGCTTCTTGGGGTCTTGTAATAGATCACGCACCCACTCGGCGCGCGGGCAAGCGCTCGCAAAACGTGGGGCAGTGTGGGCAGGTCTTCCTGGAGGGCCGCTGTTACAGCCACGGGGTAGCTTTTGTCCGAGCTCCGAAGCGTCTCGGTGTACTGGATGCCGTTTGGAGAATCCCCCCGTGCAAAATCAGTCGGCGTTGAAAGAAAAAATAAATTAAAAAAGAAGCCCACGTGAACGCTGCTACAATCTGGGCGGCGATGCCATAGTCTGCGTCAGCTGTTGCAGCCAAGACTAACTTCCCCTTGCCATTGGCCTGATTGGCCAGGTGGGGCAGGATGTCCACTGGGTCGTGAAGCAACTGGAAACGCAAGCGCTGCGCCTTGCGGCAAGCTTCCGCACCTCCCATGCGATCCAGCATGAAGCCAGGGGGGCGCGGGGGGGCAGCAGGTGAGCGTCGCGGCCCGCAGCTGGCTTGGCACTGCGCAGGACTTCCTTCTCCCGCGTACTCCTGGCCTTGGCGGCGGCCTTCGCCCCTCCAGGATTGCGCTCTCGGATCTTGGCCCCCGGCATGGCAGCGGCGGCGACGACTGTTGCAGCTGGCCCGACTGGATCTGCGCCGCTCGCCTGGGCCGCCCCCTGAGCCGCCGCAGCGAGATCGGGGGCGCCCCCCGCGAGAAGGCGAGCGCGCTTGCTCGGGGAAGCGGCCGCCATGGCGTCGACGGCAGCTGCTCGCTTGCTGCCGAAGCCTACCTCTGTCCGACGTTCTGCCCGAGGCTCCCGCGTGCTTCCCTCGCCGCGCCTCCCGGCCCTCCTCAGCGATCTGACCATTTGCGCGCTCATGTAGCTGGAGCACAGACATGTACCAACGACTGGCGGCAGAGCTCTCGTCCCGCGGCTGGTCCAGCCACGTGCGCAGCAACCCGCTGGGGGGCGCTGCGTCCACGAGCGTGCACTCCTCCGCGGACATGTCGAGCATTTGAGTCCTCTCGGGGCAATGCACCTCTGAGAAACGGCGGAATCGCCTCTCCACGTTGCCCGTGCTCGTTTTCCATACTAGGAAGAGCTCCACGAGACGACGGCCGCCGTGGAGCTCGGGCCACTCCGCCGCAGCGCGGCCCCAAGCCTGCCGCGCGGTGCCCCCGCCCCGACGATGCACATCGGCACGCGGCAACATTTGCCGCAGCTGGGGGATTGCCCGCTGCTCGGGGAGGTCAGCCGCCTGGCAGATTCGCCTCAAACAGGCCTCGGCTTCTGTTGCGTGCCCCGTTGCGCCCGCGCCTGTTGCAGACAGGGGGGAAGGCAAACGAAAGGCAGCAAACGCGTGCAACCAAGAATGCTCTGGCCGATGTAACTTCATGTTCTCCGTCACGTTGGCAACGATTCCCTGCGCCCGTCGAAGAGCCGCCTTGGTGGCGTCGCGGGCTCGGGGCTCCGTATTCCAATCGCCGATGCCAACGGTCTGGGCGCCGTTGCCGCAGGCGAACCGCTTCGTGCCCCGCAGAAACTTCAGGGTGACGCCAGCGCACGCGTCGGGAATGCCCCAAATATCCCCCTTGACGAACAACGCTTCCAGCTTGGAGAGGAAAGCGGTGGCCCTTGATTGAACGCTTGAAGCGTCGGGGTTGCTCTTGTCTCCGGTGGCGACCCAGGCGTAGGGCTCCGCGCGCAAGTCGGCCAGCACCCCCCCCCCCCCAGGAGCAGGCGCGAACTGCTCTCGCCCCCGAGCCCTTCCAAGAAACGTCGGGCGAGAATGCGCCGATCTACGTCAGTCCCCTGGCACTCCACTCCGAGCGCATTCAAAATGACATCCCAACGCCGACTTTCCCGTGCGAAGGGCCTCGCCCGACTGTTGAAACGCCGAGGGGGCCAGCCGAAGTTTTTGACGAACGCAATGCAGTCTTCCACCAGCTGCTGCTCCCCCAGTGTGGTGCGGAACACGGTGGAGTTAGTCAAGATCTTGGCCAGACTTGGCGGCTTCTTATCCGTTACCAGCAGCTCGCCCGTGATCGAAATTTCGCTGTTTCCTTTTCATCAAATTGGCAAGGACCTTCTGGGGCGAGCGCGACTCGCCCCACGCGTTGAACGCCAGCCGAAAGAACGTAGCTGTTGCAGCCAGGGGTGCACTTAGATCCGCCCCATCGCTGCGCCATGCCCACATCTCCTCTCGCACATGCTTGTGCAAGTCCCCGCCCATCTCCCCGCCTGCCGTCTGGCACGCGCGACGGGCGCAGTCCTCCTGCATGGAAGCCTTGCCGTCGAAGTCCATGGCCCGTGGGAACTCCCGCGCCCCGATCACCCGCCCCACGATCCAGGGCCCTTTGGGGCCAGCTGTTTCAGCCAGCCTGCCTTGAGACCGTAGCTTGGGAGGAAGTCCAAACCCGTCGGGATCGACCACAGCACGGCGCCGATCTCGACC